GTCCCACTAATTCTACGTGTCGGTTCGTGACACCCGATCCACTAATTCTAAGTGTCGGTTCGTGACACCCGTCCCACTAATTCTACGTGTCGGTTCGTGACACCCGATCCACTAATTCTATGTGTCGGTTCGTGACACCCGTCCCACTAATTCTATGTGTCGGTTCGTGACACCCGATCCCACTAATTCTATGTGTCGGTTCGTGACACCCGTCCCACTAATTATATGTGTCGGTTCGTGACACCCGATCCACTAATTATACGTGTCGGTTCGTGACACCTGTCCTACTAATTCTATGTGTCGGTTCTTGAGTCGGTTCGTGACACCCGTCCCACTAATTCTATGTGTCGGTTCGTGACACCCGTCCCACTAATTCTATATGTCGGTTCGTGACACCCGATCCACTAATTCTATGTGTCGGTTCGTGACACCCGATCCACTAATTCTATGTGTCGGTTCGTGACACCCGTCCCACTAATTCTACGTGTCGGTTCGTGACACCCGATCCACTAATCTCATCACTTTAGTTCATCAAGCCTTCTTTCTTACCAAGGCATCATCAATCTCATTATTTTAGTTCATCACGCCTTCTTTTATACCAAGGCCTCATCATTAACAAAGAGATTAGGGATTTTCAAGATTTGGGATTCAATAACTTCATCATGCTTATATAATCACAATTATGTAATCATATTCATACAAGCATACAATTAAGCACATAGCAGGGTTTACAATATTATCAATACATATCATTCGCTATTAAGAGTTTACTACGAATATCGTAAGAGAAACCATAACCTACCTCCACCGAAGACTAGTGATCAAGCAAGAATTTCCCAAAGCCTTGTGTTTTTCCTCTTCGTTCGTCTCTCTCTATCGATTCTCCTTCTCTCTCTTTCTGTTCTTTTCTTTTTCTTATTCAAACCCTCTTTCTTTTACCCTAATTAGCATATAATTAAGAATAAAGATGGCAATAATAACCCACTAATTTACTCAAGGTTACCTCTTTTAACCCCCAAGTAATTAGACTTATTAACATAAACCCACTAACTTTATAATTAAAGTAGGAATAGTCCAAAACGTCCCTTAAAACGTGTAAAGAAATCCGACCCAGCCTGGGATTACGCAACCTGTGACGGCCCGTCGTGCCTGCGACGGTCCGTCCTGCAGGTCGTCGCAAGGTTCAGAGACTCAATTTCCACCAAAGAGTCTGTGACGGTCCTTCACGCCCGTGACGGTCCGTCCTGCCATTCCGTTACGAAGTTCAGAGAGTCAATTTTCAGTACCCAATTTCAGAATCTCTAAGTGTTTTGAAACGAGACCCCTCGACGGTCCGTCGTGCTCATGACGGTCCGTCGTGGGTTCCGTCGTCTCAGCCTGTTTTTCCAGAAATAAAATCTGCTGCTCAAAATGACTAAACAGGTCGTTACAATTTTACCCTTGAGAGTTATTAATCTTAAAAATATGAATTCGACCATTACATAAAAGTTAAATGATAAATTCATGTTCATTGATTATTTAATTAATCACAATAAATTAATTTTATGTTCATTTATTAAAAATTTGACTTCAAAAAATCACTAAATAAAGGTCAAATAGTAAACTTACTTAGTTTCTTAAAATATGTAAATTTTGAAATTGTGACATATACTCTCCTGTCCAACAATACATGTTCACTATTGACTTTGAACACTTCCTAAAAATACTTTAAATATAAGGGGTCGTTTGGTACAAAAATGAATAACGAAGGGATTAGTAATGCAGAGATTAGTAGTGCAGAGATTAGTAATGCACGGTTTATTTTTATCAAGTGTTTGGTTCATTGTTTTCTATCCCAACTTGTGTTTGAAATCAAATTCTTTAAAAATCTCCTTTGCAATTATACCCTTAAATTATAATGTAATTGGGTCAAGGTAGATAATTATTAGAAAATATTTTTTTATAACATTCTAACTAGCTATGAGAAGAATAATTTTGTTGTCATGTTTCCAATTTTCTACTTGAATTATTTGAGGATAAATAATTTTCATCTTAATAAATTGATCACTAATAAAATGTCAATTTTAAATTTTAAAAAGATAAACCAACTACTTTTAAAATTATAAAGATGGTCAACTATTGTAAAATTGAATAAATCATGTACATTTACACATATAAAATTGCAAGTTATAATTTCATATGTATGTAATTTGCTTAAATTGTTCAAAATACGAATAATTAGTGATATAATTGTCTTTTAATTAGTAAACGTTAAACAACTCACATTTCAAATTTGTATTGATTTGAATTAGATATATTTAGTTACAAATAAGTCTCTCTTAATAATTTGTAAACTAATTAATTTAAATAATTTTACTAGTACAACTATAAAACATAAAATCAAGAAATTAAAATAAAAATTAAAAAGATTTGAGGGACATTTTATTCTTTATGTGTTTATCCTATGGTATTATATCCTATGTATTACTAATACCTCCAAATGGAAGGTTAATACATCCTATAATACCATGTAGGATGTGCTAACTAATCCATAGATTAGTCATACACAGACTCACATTCCTACCAAAAATAGTATTAAATTATACCATATGTAATACGTGGATTATTTCTTTGATGCAACCTACCAAACGTTCCTAAGGGTCATTTTACTATATCACCCTTTGAATATAATAAATATAATGTCTTGGAAAATATAATAATAAATTACTATAATTAATGATAAGAATAATTAAGAATTAAGTGTAAAATTATCTATTGATTTTATAAAGTGGACAAATATTATTAGACATCTCAAAATAATATGATGAAAACTATTGTTAGACTTAGAAAGTAAATAGTAACATATTATTTATTGTTAATACTAATTGGAATTTTCTTAATAGCTGTTGGTTAGTATCTTCTACGGATTATTTTCATATTTTTGAATTTTTCTTGTTAGCTATAAAATGAAAAACATAATTAATATAAATATAGTTAAGAGTAAATTATATTGCTAATTGAAAATTTCTTAATAGTTTATTACCAATCTCTTATTGATTATTATGTGTATGGGTGTTCATGGTTTAAATAAAAATCGATTCAAATTGAAAAATTAATTAAATAAATCGAGTTAATTTGGATTTTTAATTTGGTTTGGTTTTAGATTGTTAAAAATCGATAGTATTTGGTTTGCTTATAATTTTATTCAAAAAAAATTAAAGAAATAATCTAACCGAACCAATAAGTTATATTCTTAAATTTTATTATTATATATACATAATATTTATATTCATAAATAATTTTAAAGATTTTATATATGCTTAATCAAAATTTATTTATAATTTACTTATAAAAAAATGTCCAAGGTGAAAACATTATTCTTATTGTTCATATGTGTGAGTGTCTATTGAAATTCTTTGTGAGACTGAAAATGTCATTGTATCTTCCTTCTAATGTCCAAATAGTGAATTTTAAAGTTTTATTCAATAAATTCGACAATCGAAAGTTCTGTAATGGCATTCATGCTAACTATTTTTTCGTTTGAATGGATTGTTGTCACTTCTTCCACGTTTTGAATGAATTGTTTCTTTTATTTTTATGTATGGTTAATAACCGAACCAAACCAAACAAAACCAAAACCGAATATAACCAAACCAACCCATGAAAACCCTAATTATGTGTGTATTTTTGAATCTTTACTATTTGCAGAAAAAAATATATGATTAAAGTAATTATAATTAAAAGTAACATGCAATTAAATTTACAGTTATTTTCTATTTTTAAAATTCTTCTAACTCACTTCAATTTGAATTAATCGTATTTTATATCAACTTTGTAAAATTATTTTAATTCTTTTAAGTGTCTAAAATATATGAGTTTGAAATCCACTAATTTATATTTATCTTTAATTAATGTATATTAAAAACACAAATTCATGTCTAGTATCTTCTATTTGGATTTTAGTTCGTAAAGAAGCAAGTTAAGTTTTGATCATTTTTCAAACCTAAATCAAAATTTATTAGAAAAAAGAGGGTGATTTGGGCTCATTATTTTGACGATAATTATATCATGGAGTAAATATTACTTGGAACAAGGTAAATTGAAAGAGAAAATAAAACTTTTTGAAACCATTACAAGTTTTTTCTGTTTTTAGGTTCAGGATATAGAAAATTTGAGCCATTATTTTATTATCATTATTGGTTAATCTAATTTTGTATATATTTCTTCTATATTTGTAATTATTAATTTTTTTTCTATAAATTTAAAACTTTATCTCTATTTTTATCATTAAAGAATGGAACTCCAACATGATTAGTTGCATGAACAAATCTATGTAACACTTTCTAAAGAACTATCAATTACGAATATCGCCGAACTAATGAAATTCAAAAATTGTATACATATATCATATATCGCCGAACTAATGAAATTAGAAAATTATATATATATATATATATATATCTTTCGTTATACTATTGAGACAATATAGTCTTTACTATTCAAAAAGTGATGCACTTGTAACCTTCATAATGACAGACGGACACATATCCTAATCTTGTGCATTTATCCAAAAATATTTTACTTCGGGTAGATGCAAATGAATAATGCACCGTGTCCATCTGTTAGTGTGAAGAGTATAAGTGATGCACCTTTAAGACGTCAAGGACTGTGATATTTCAATAATATAACAAAGGATATATGTATACCATTTTCAATAGTTCGAAAGTATATTGATTTTTTCCCAATAAAATTTTAACAATGATAATGCAATCAAAAGGCCAAAAGAAAACATAAACCAACAAGTCATGTAAATAACATTGACATCAATTATTATTTTAACTAATTTAAATATATATTTATCGCTAAACCATGACACACATATAAAACACGTACACTAAACTAGTATACATAAAAGTGATTATTGAAGATTGAAGTAACAACTAATTGAAATAGAACTACTGAATATGTTTCAATCAAATAACTATTCTTTTTCCTAATCATCCTTGCACTAGGAAAAGATCTGATCACAAAAGATCAAGTTCTATAGAAAATTATTTTCACAACTCAAATCAGCGATCTCAAGCAGGTTACATGAAAAATAATTTTATCAGTTACGTCATTACTATAAAGTTATATAGTATTTCATTCCAAATATCAGGAACTCCAGCTAAACACCAATGACTACAATCCATTCCACTTAGCCCATAAATTGAAGGATGTCCATCTTTACGCAATAAGCAAAGATTTGTGACATCAAGTAATGTAACTTGCTTCTCAATTGTGTACAATACTTTCTTCAAAACTTTCAATGCTGGGGGTAACCCTCCTGGATATGTTGAACCACTTATTGGTTGCATTTGCCCTAAGCAAGTTTTCACACCTGGCTCATTCCAATTGGTACCGCTGTCGGATTCAACAAGGGAAAAATTACGTGAAATGACAAATATTTATAGTATATTATGCTCCATAGTTAGTATAGTTTCAGATATTTATGATTAGCAACTACATTTTCTTAAATTTTTCTATGAATTTAGAATTTGTATGATTCGATTTCTGTATGTATAAATCCAGATTTTGTATATGCTTACCCTAGCTATTTGTATATAATTTATTGATACATATATTTTGTATATAGGTTATAGAAAATTCATCCTAAATTATTATGTTTGTATATTGACAAGCGAAATATGCATATGGAGTTTTGAAAAAATTCCCATGACAAGAGAAATATATAGAATATGTATATATACAGAATCTGTATATATTTACCATTTTTGTATATTGAAAGCTAAATATACAAATAGAAATACTCAATAGCAACCGAAACCATAGACATATGGAACGTATTAACCAAGTTGTATCTATGGAGCATGATTAAGTTTAATCTCTTTTCTATTTATGAAATTTTCTCTTTTTTATAGTGTATCCTAAAAAATATATATAGTCTAATTTTCATTTGAGCGACCTACATAATATCCACGTGACAATACTTAGAAAATAAAATCCATTTATAACACTTACTTGTAATGAGATGGTGAAATTCCTTGAAAGAACACTATAGTTTTTGCAGGATTAATGTTGGTGTCAATCCATTTAGCCCACGTAAATAAAGCTCTCTCAAAAGCAACAACACGATCCATGTCTTTATAATATTGACCTCCTATTTCAATGTAATCCCATCTACAAAATATGAAGAGGTGACGAAATAAATATATCGATATATGTTTTTTACGATTTACCTCTAAAAAATACGAAATTTAATATATAGTTAGAAGCTAACGGTTGAGTGGTTCCTCTACGGTTCCACCAATGCCAAGTGTTGAAAATGAGCATGTCAATTCCTTTCCACAATTTGCCACCTTCAATTGAATCTAATTTTAATATTTTTCCCTTTTCTTCCCTCACAACGTCCACTAAATACACACTTCGATCCAACATCACATCGAGTTCAAAATCCTGAAAAATACTATATGTTTTTCGTTTTAGCAACAATTGAGTTAATGTCATTATATCGAGAATCACTAAAGTCTTCAGCAGTATTTGTACAAATGCCATTATATCGAGAATCACTAAAGTCTTTAGCAGCATTTGTACCGAGTGTTAATCATAAATACTTACTTCCTTTGTCCACTATTGTTTGTCATGGTTTCTATAAGAACTTTAACTAACATTTTAAAATGTATTTTTTCATCATATTGATATGGAAAAAAAAACTGCAGTTTATAGTACTTTTCATATAGTTTTTTAATATCTAAATTTTTTGTTTAAAATATCGAATCTAATTTAATTTAACTTTGGGAATTAGTCAAATTGGCTTTTAAAAAAAATGCTAATGTGTTAATCTCACATATGTGAATTGTGATGAAAGGACAATATTCATGCAATTTCTATAGAGCTATGATGATGATAATGTTATACAAGGGTTAGATCCTATGACATACATTAAGTTATGATGATTAATAAAGACATTTCAAAAGGGATTCTAGCTTAGCACCAAGTGAACTAGAGTGAGAAGTGTCCCTCCCGACCTCAGGAAGGTAGGATCACTAATGTACTCTTGAGATTGAAGACTACAATGTATGTAGCATAAAGAGGGTCCCAACTATATCTCCTAGTTCTTAAACTATGTTGCTCCCATAGGAATACTAGCTAGTGGATCGACGTAGTCGCTATGTTCATGTTTTGATACTACCTTGGCAAGTAGTCCACCTTCTTTTGGTGTAGGATTTTATAACATCGAATTCCACATTAGCTCACGTGGTCTATGTCGGTTAGGGAATGATGTTCCCAAAAGGTAAAATCAATTAAAGGAATGAACTCTAACTAAGATGACCTAAGGGGTTACGCAACATGACAAATAAAAGTGGAAGAAGAGAATCTATTATATTATTATTGTTGCAAAGTGCAAAATTTAAGCTTGATGAATTTGATCTAATTCGTAACTGAAGTTCTAGCTCCGCCCCGACTGAAAATAGATCAAAAGGAAAATGATAAAGAAATTACCAAGAAGGTGAATATAGAGACATCCCCAACTCTAGTTGTGTTGTATTTGGTGTTAGGGAGTGATGTGTAAAGAAGGCACACAAGTGATTGCCACTGATTTCGACTTAGAGAATCTCCCACAAACATGATGCTTTTCCCTTTGAATTTATTCAAGAATGCCCCTCCATCAAATCTGCATAAAATGAACTAAAATTATATCTCAAATTTGAAATTTATGAATTTTGAATTTTAATATTGTCATGATGTTTTGGATTGAATTATTTGACATGATATCAGAAGTAAAATGCATAATTTAATAAGCGCATTATCTTTATGTATTTCAGGTTTGGTTTGAGGTATTAGCTGCTCCAGGAATTGTCTTATCCCATCATTTGTACTAAAATGATACCATTACTATCTATTATAAAATGTAGGATAAAATAATCTCATGTAATTGTATTTGGTTTAATCAAGACTCCAAAGCATAAAGAAGAAATGATTGTGTGTTTTATGTCTTTAATTAACACATTATTTTACAAGGTCTAATTAAGTTTCTGGTGACAGTTTTAGCCACCATAATGAAATGATTATTTTACAACTGGAAATCTGATATAAAAAAAAAAGAAAAAAGAAGTGAGAGGGACCCTACACCTTGTAAAAGTATGTGTTAAAAGACATAAAAAGAGAATAAAAGTCCAATTGGGAAATTGACCAGTGACTTCATTACATGGATTGAAGCTGAACTCAAATATTGATATTAGAGTCGGTTCCATTTTCATTTGGATTTTTAATTTACAATCCAATTCGGGCCTATAAACGTAAAGAAGGGTGTTAGAGTAGATAAAAGTTTTATATTGACTGAAAAAAATTGATAGTCTCATTATATAAACTTAAATTATATATCTTCCTTTTATGAGTTAATTTTTTAAATTTTACGCCCAAATTTCATAACTTCGTAAAAACACACATTCTAGACACCCAATTACAGTGTGGCCCCTTTACATAAAAACAATTTTTTTTTTTTGTAGTATTTTCTTATTAGCACATGGAGGGGGGGGGGGGGGGGGGACCTATGTTCAGATATGTCATATGTTTTCCACTATGATACTAATTAGATTTAGGGATCTAAAATCTACTTTTAACAGATCATGTCTAGATATTGATCTTCATCAAGTGGTCAAGATCTTAATTGGTAATGTTTTTTTTTTCTGTTGATTGAATACTTGGACAACTTCAATAACATGTTTCAATTTAGACACTTTTTTTGACTCGTACATTCATAAGCTTTCATTACATAAATAAATTAATTATATAAAATATTAAGATAAAAGTCTAAAAAATTTCTTAATTTTGGTCGAATTTGATGTTACGATAGTAAACTTTCATAAGAATCTATTACCTCCCTACTTCCTAGAATCTAGATTATTTAATATCGTATTTTAAACCTATATATTTGTCTACGTGAACATAAAAAATAACGTAAAATTATAATAATGTGTCAACATAGGCATATATATATCTTAAAAATATACTATTAAATAGTTTAGGAAAATAATAGAACCTCATAAAAGTTTAGTATCGCAACAATAAATTCGATCAAAATTAAAACAATTTAGCCAATTACAAGCGAAATCATTATTAAAGCTGCCACTTTTCTTGGTTTGGTTTGGGTGGGGTGGGCGTGGGGTGGGGGTGCGGGGTCACGGGTCACCATACTATTACTAGCATCATTCAAGCTTATCTGTTGGCTTATTCTATTAGTAATGAGTAATTTGTGTATTAGTCATTTCATTTCGTATAAAATAGTGTGTTGATTTTTCATAATTTATATATGTATAAATTTTTAAAATTATAAAATGATATATTTACATTGATTTTTATATGAATAATTTATCTTGTAATTAGCAATTAGACATAATAAACTCTGCTATTTATTTTAAATTTAATATTTTAACTCATTTTCAAATCAGCTACGAAACGAAACTTTTTTTTTTAAGGCTCACGGACACTCCTTCATCAATCTACCCTCTAGCCTCCATCACTTTCATAAATTATTGCACATTACTTACTTCAACATAGATTGTAACTAAACATTTTTACAATTAGAAAGATTCAAAAACAAAGAATCAAATTAAATAACATTATTTGCAAGTTTTATACCAGTAAAGATACAATTAGAAAGATTCAAAAACAAGAATCAAATTAAATAACATTATTTTCAAGTTTTATACTAGTAAAAACACACAAGTTAGCAACAAACAAATTCCCCCAACAGAAACAACAGAATTCGTCACTAATTCTCTTTAACGACAAATTCACAAATATATTATCATAATATTCTGTTAGCTACGAGCAATTCAACAACGTAAAGATATATGGAGTTATAAGAGTTACCTTTCTAAGGAGCATCCATGTGGTTGCCATCTATACTTGAGATAGTCTTGATCAGGACGGCCATTCTTTTGACAATTGAATTCATGTTCAATAAATGGACATTGAATTGAATCGTAAAGAGGATAAGTTTCATCTTCGATCCAATTTCCTTCGAAAAAATTACAACTCCGCTTTACATTAGCATTAGCATTTGCATTTGAGTGATGAAAAAGTAGCACAAAAAAACTTGTAAAAATACAAATGAAGATACTAAAGAAATTCCAACTCATAGCTCTACTAATCAAATCATTAATAGTATGAATGTGTGTGTCATATATATAGAGTTAGATTGTGTTGAGATCTAGAAATAAGGGAATTTTTTTTTAGATATCACAACTTTTATTTATGAAAAAAAGTGATATGATTTATGAATTACTTAAAAAATTTGTCAGAAAGAAAAGTTTGTCACGTTTCTACACATATCATTTATTTATACCTCACTAGATGTTAAAGAAAGGTAGGGGTGGACATGGGACGGTATTGAAAACTTTAATTTTTTGATTTTTAAAAGATATTATTTTCATTATTAAAAGTTAAATATTGTAGTTTTGATTAAAAAAAAATTAGGGGTGGAATTTTTAAATATTTTGAAGTAAAATTTATATATTTAAAAATTACGTAAAAACATAAAGTTAATTGCAGTAATTGATGATTCTAAATATTTTAAAGATATATGAAATAATTTATATATATTAAATAAATTATTTTTAAAACAAATACATACTTCGTAAAAGTTGGCTCAAACATGTAATTGTATTAAAATATTGTTTAATATCTATAAATAATTAATATAAATCAATAAATAAAATAATTATGATTCAAAACCCAAAAAATAATAGTAATTATAATAAATATCTGTTTTTTCAGGCATTTAACCAGAATATTAAATATACCAACTATCGACTTGGAGATGTTACAATTTTACACTCCATTAAATTATATAGTTAATGACTTTTTGTTTAGGCCGTTTAAAACGTCTTAAATTTGCATTATATATACTTCTTAACAACTTATTGGATGGTTGTTACATGTATTCTCTTGTTAGTTAAAATATTGTGATTATTTTGATTGTTACTTATATTGTTAAATTAATTATTATATAATAACGAAAATTTACATTTTAGGTAACAATTGATTTGATGATTGTCTAGTGTCAGTTAGTTAGATTTTTTCGATTAATTCGATGAGAAAAAGATATTAAATGAAAAAAAAATCACTTAGTATTATTGTTTTTGTTTGGATTTAAACATGAAAGACTTCATGATTATTTACAAAACCTGTCAACAATTCTATAAATACATGTTTATTTTTACTTGTCACTTTTGACATATCAAAAAATGATCGAAAAAAATAATAACCTTAGTATTAATTATTTATTTCTCAAGTTATTTTTTAAAACCTAATATTAAATATCATTTAATAAAGACAATGTAATAAAATATATTAATTAATATTTTCTTAATTGGTGTGTGAAATCTAAGTATGTTTCATAACATATTTTATTTCAAATTTAAACTAATAAAATTTGGATGGTTCGATATTAATCCTACTCTATTTTTCCATAGACTATAAAAATAATATGTGGACTACTCTATTGCTCTCTTTATTTTGGTGTCTAAAATGATAGCCAAACACTAAGAGCATAACCCTATGGACCAATCATATACAATTGCAAATTGCAAACCAAAACTTGTCAATTCTTTGGACTCGATTTATGTGATATTTTTATTTTCAAAATTTAAACACATTTAAATTTATTGAATTTTTTTTATATGTCTTTTAAATCTTTCATGTCAAATTCAAACTGTTTGAATCTCGAAAAATAAAAAGTATTACATAAATTGTGACAAAAGAGTACAACTTACTATCCACTATTTTTTAAATTCATTTTTTTAAGTCCCACATTGAATCAGCGGCGGAGCCAACATAGCTTTAGTGGGTCACTTGAACCCATTCGACGGAAAATTATATTACTTTTTGTTAGGTTATTAGCATTTTAATATTAATATTTAACATATAAATTGCTTTATTTTGGAGTTATAAGAATGAACATTGGAATGGATGACTTCTACATCATCCATTAGCATTGGTTGTCCATCACTTTATTTCATTCTTAATACCTCCATTACTCTTTGTAACCTATGTAACTCCTATTGTAACATATGTAACCTATGTAACTCCTATTGTAACCTATGTAACTCCTATTGTAACCTATGTAACCTATGAAACTTCTAAGGCCATTATCTTCACTATTTACTATCTCCATTATCTTCCTATTTATTGCTAGGAAGACTTCTTGTAGTATAAATAGTGGTGGTCTTCATTTGGTTTGGAACACACAATTCATAAGAGAAAACAAAGAGTGAAAGAGTTAGTCTAAAAGAGAGTTCTTATAAGTTGAAAGGAGGTGTTCTTTTTTGTGGAGCTTTGAACTCAACTCTTGTCCAGAGTTGTTGAGTTATACTTTGTGAAGGCTGTTGTATCGTGGAGGGGACAAGTCAAAGAGGACTACTGCTGGACCGGTGAAAACATTTGTTGCAGTGGGCTTGAATCTCCTTAAAGAGAGTGAGATATCCGCGCCTCAGCCTGAAGAGATTACTTTCTTCATTTTATTTTCAATTGTAATCTTGCAATTTTATTATCTTGTAAGTTTTTTCAATAACAATATTATAGTTTGCTTTTTTGATCTCCAACAAACAGCACCACCACCTAAAGTAAAGACATAACCAGTGGTAGAACAGGAATCACCTGACAAAGTGTTTCAATCTGCATCACAAAAACCTTCAAGTACAGCAGGATATTTTTTATAGAACAAACCACAATTTTTCGTTCCAATTAAATATCTCATAACTCTTGTTATAGCATGCTAATGTTCATCACCTGGCTTGCTTGTAAACCTGCCAAGTACTCCTACTGCATATGCAATATCAGGCCTAGTGCAATCAGTCACATATATCAAACTTCCGATTATACTAGCATATTCCTTTTGATTTATTACATCATTTTCACTTTCAACAGGAAATAAGTGAACACTTGAATCAAAAGGAGTAGCAACATGCTTGCAATCATGAAAGTTATATTTTTTCAAAATTTTCTCAACATAATGTGACTGGTCAAGGAAAATCCCCTCACATGTTCTTGTTATTTTTATTCCAAGAATAAAATTTACCTCACCAAGATCTTTCATATCAAAATGGCTTCTAAGAACATTTTTAGCTTCATCAATAACATTCATGTTAGAGCCAAAGATCAACAAATCATCAACATATAGGCAAATGATCACATGTGAATTATTCCAAGACTTATGATATATGCACTTATCACACTCATTTGTCTTAAAACCATTTTCAATCATGCAGGAATCAAACTTTTCATGCCATTGCTTTGGTGCCTGTTTTAAGTCATATAGGGATTTAGTAAGTTTACATACTTTGCTTTCTTGGCCTGCTTCAACAAAACGCTCGGGTTAGTCCATATAAATTTCTTCATTTAGGTCTCCATTTAGAAAAGCAGTTTTTACATCCATTTGATGAATTTGCAAATCAAAAATTGCAGCCATAGCATCTAAAAGTCTAATGGATGTAATTCTTGTTACCGGAGAAAAAGTATCAAAAAATTCTAGGCCTTCTAGTTGTTTAAAACCTTTTGCAACTAGCCTAGCCTTGTATTTATCAATAGAACCATCCGGTTTCAACTTTTTCCTTAAGACTCATTTGCAACCAATTGTTTTACAACCCGGTGGTAAATCAACTAACTTCCAAGTTTTATTAGAAATTTAGAGATTCCATTTCATCATTTACAGCCTCTTTCCAAAAAAATAGAATCATGTGAAAATAATGCTTCTTTCAAAGTTAGAGGGTCATTTTCAACATTAAACACATAAAAATCAGGACCAAACTCTTTTTCTACTCTAGCTCTTTTACTTCTTCTTAACTCAAAATCAACAACTTCTTTATTTTTCAAAGTTGAAGTAGAAGAACTAGGTAGTGACAAAATATTTTGTTCAATCCTTTGACCCCCACTATTTTTAGTATCAAAAGGAAATTTATTTTCATGAAAAATAGCATCACCAGATTCTATTACAATATTATCTTCAAGATTAAAAAATCTATAGGCTGTACTATTTGAAGCATAACCAAGAAAAGCACAAGTAGTAACTTTCTTACCCAACTTTGTGATCTTGGGATCCATTAGCCTCACAAAGGCTAGACAACCCCAAACTTTTAGATATCCCCAACTTGGCTTGTAACCTTTCCACAATTCAAAAGGTGTCAATTTAGAATTTTTATGAGGCACACGATTCAAGACATAACAAGCAGTTAAGATAGCTTCACCCCAAAAAATTAAAGGTGCATGTGACTCAATTAGCATGACATTAGTCAATTCAACCAAAGTTCTATTTTTCCTTTCTGCTACTTCATTAGACGAAGGAGAGTAAGGATAAGTAGTTTCATGAATTATTCCCAATGATCTAACAAAAGAATTAAACTCATTTGATTCATATCCACGGTCTCTATCACTTCTAATTCTTTTTATTTTTCTTCCAAACTGATTTTCAACCTCATTGAGATAAGTTTTGAAACTTTCAAAAGCATCACTTTTATTTTTCATCAAGTAAAAATATGTAAACTTAGAAAAATCATCAATGAAAAAGATAAAATATCTATTACCTCCACGAGTTAGAATTCCACCAAGTTCACAAATATCAGTATGAACTAATTCTAACAAATCAGTTTTTCTTTCAACTTGAAAATGAGGCCTTTTAGTGATCTTGGCTTTACTACAAGCCTCACACTTTTCAAAATTCTTTTTAACCATTGGGATTAATCCTAAAATACTCATGATTCCAACATAACGATCATTAATATGACACAAACGAGCATGCCAAAAATTAGTAGAAGAAAGCATATAAACAGAAGTAGAAGTTTTATTCATTTCAACATTTAACTTAAACATCCCATCACATGCATACCCCTTCCCCACAAAAATATCTTTCTTTACTATTACATATTGATCATATTCAATAATCTGTTTAAAGCCTGCTTTATTAAGAAGAAAACTAGACATCAAATTTTTTCTCATAGGAGTATAAAGCACATCTTTCAATGTTAATATCCTTCCAGAAGTAAAACACAATTCAACATCTCCCTTTACAAGCACTTGAGTAGTGTGAGCATCACCAAGCATGATAGTTTTGGGCTCCTCAAAATGAGTATATTTTTTAAACCAGTCTTTG